TGACACCTCATCCTTTTGTTTTCCCCCCTCCCCCCCCCCCTCCAAAGCTAGAACGCTTAAAAATACCACTTCAGGTGGATGCTGCCAAGATCTTTTAAACTCGCCCGGTAGATTTCGTGCTGAGTGGTTGCGATGTCTGCGATCTCTTAGGTGCAAGCGCAGCTCTCTCTGGTCGGCCCACCGTCCGCGATCTCCTGGTGCTATGTAGCTCTCGCCTAACGATTCCCCATCCTCAGACTCCTTTAACCGCATCCAATCTTTTACTTATCTCTTAAACTTTACTTCTCTATCATTCTTAATTCCTCCTTATCCCCTCCTTTGTGAGCTACTGCTGAGGTGCCGCACTTAGCTGCAGACAGTTGCGGGGCTCACTTTTCCCTTCTTTCCTTCTATTTTAAAATCACTACTTCCCCTACTTTCCTATAGATGCTGGCAAAGCTGAGAAGGTGGCAAAAACCCCTCAAGCATTTTGTGGTATGCATGTAACGTACATCATTGATGTATTATATCAAATATGTTTTGACTGACTCAGCATACCAACACTTTCTAGGAGCCTGATTACACCGGCAACTTGCTTCATCTTATTTGAGATTGCAAAGTATACTGAGCAGGACAAAGGTTAACTATACTATGTGTGTAGTTTGTGAACACTGCCCTAATTTTTTTATGAAGCCCATCGTCAGTAAAACTAAAGAAATGGAGAGGTAAGGTACGTATGTGAATTTAAGTGCCAAGCACAACACAAAAAGACAGACAATGGCAAACTACAAAAAAGAACAGTCATCGGGTGATCTCCTTAATACATTAATTTTAACACCAAAACACACATCAAATCTCTAATTGAGTCTGTGTCTGAGTGAGCATAAAGCACAAAATATGTTTCCTAGGTGAGTTTCAAAGAGCTCCAAATTTTGTTGCAGACCTATGGAGCTTACTACTTATCTTGTGCTTCAGTATCAGCCCTATGTCAGCTCACATTGATACTCAATTCTACTCACAGATGCAACAACACTAGTGTTCACATAGCAGCTAGATATCTATTGACCTTAGGCATGCCTTAACCCCCCCTTCCCCACCCACTGAAAAAATTTTTCAGAAGATTTTGGTAAAAATATCTCGTGAGGCATATATTTCAATGAAAATGTCCTCACTGTATTGAAAACACTGGTAACTCGTATGCAAAGGTAATAAATTAAAATGCATATTGTAGAGCACCAATTACGTTAGACATTGGCATTTAGGTGCATTGACATCCATATTGAAAAAGCTATGCGTACATTAAGATGCTTATAAGTCAACTCACTTATACTCAATTTAGACTGTGAGTCTGGGCAAGTCCAAGCAAGTGATATTTTGGCAAGTCTGATTACAAGTCAGTCCGCTTAAGAAAAAGTCGAGTGATTGAAATCCAAATGAAGCCCTAAAGGCAAAATATATTCAATGAGTAAGTCTGAGTGAGTTCCACACTTTTTGCCAATCTATTCCATGTACTGCATGAGTGTTTTTGCATGTGTGCATGTGTGTGTGCATATACACACATGCTTAAGTATGTAACTACACTGGTAGCACAATTATGGACACAATTCAAGAAATATTAGTATACAGCATATATTAAACATGAATACAGACAGAAAAAATAGCACAGAGCCACAAGTCCCCTAGGTAAAAAAATACTAAACAATGTGACAGCACTGCGTGTTCCAAACACAAATTTCAAACTATTTAACAAAGAGAGGACCCCAAACTTGTATTGAACGAAATGATGAGCCCACTCACATTATTCTGTTCAATCAAAAAGTTCATAAAATCCAGACAATGCCTTTTGGTCTACTAAAATCTAAAATTGTGGGTACACATCTTCATCATCACCATCATCATCCTAATCAGCCTGACTACACCCACTGCAGGACAAAGGTCTCTCCCATGTTCCGCCAGTCAACTTGGTGCTGTGCTTGCTGCTGCCACTTAATACCCGTAAACTTCCTAATCTGATCTGCCGAACTAACTTTCTGTCCATCTTTCACCAGCTTGCCTTCACTTGGAATCCAGTCTGTGATCCTTAATGAGCAGCAGCTATCTTGCCTTTGCACTACATGCCTTGCCCATGACCATTTCTTCTTGCTTTCTTACTATGATGTCCTTAACACACCTTTATTTCTGATACACTCTGCTCTCTTCTTGTGCCTTAAGAGTTACACCTATCATTTTCCCTTCCATCGCTCGCTGCGTGGTCCTCAACTTAAGTTGAACTCTCTTCATAGTCCTCCCAGTTTCTGCTCCATAGGTAAATACCGGTAAGATGCAGCTAATACGTAGCTTCCTCTCAAGGGATAGTGGCAATCCACCATTCATGGTTTCATAATGCTTGTAAATACATATACGGATGCTCAAATGTTATACCAGAATTGTTTGTGCCGCCAAACAATGCCTCCAGGTGTGGAAAGTTCACAAGATGGTGACCCAAACATATTGCTTGTCTGGGCCACTATGTCACCCAGACAATGGGAGCACCATGCCTGGGCGATGTAGGTCAGGTGGATGGCAACGTGAAACTATGACAGGCTGAGGCTATGTGAAGAAGACACAGGAGAAAGAATGTAGTGATTGTGTGAGAAAGCCAAGGAAGAAAGTTGCGTGAAGTGATCAATTCATATGCGAGGTTTACCTTCCCCGAACCACCATATGATTATGAGAGACGCCGTAATAGAGGGCCCCGGAAATTTCAACCACCTTGGGTTTTTTAACGTGCACCCAAATCTGAGTACACTGGTCTACAGCATTTTCGCCTCCATCGAAAATGCAGCCGCCACAGCCGGGATTCGATCTCGCGACCTGCGGGTCACCAGCCAAGTACCTTAGTTACTAGACAACCACGGCGGGGCTGCATGAAGTGGTCGATGCACTGCATCATGTGAACCATGAAATGAAGCAAAAAATGCCACCCTCAGCCCTTGCTGATATAGGTAAGAGCAATACAAACAGCAAAGTCTGTTGTTCTGTGCATTGGCACAGCATAGAGCCTAGAGAAAATAAAGCTAGGGCGGTGACAAGGCCATATAATTGATATGTGGGGTTTAACATCCCAAAACCAACATACGATTATGAGAGACACTGTAGTCGAGGGCTCCGAAAATTTCTACCACCTCGGTTTCTTTAACTTGCACCCAAATCTGAGCACACGAGCCTACAACATTTTCGCCTCCATTGGAAATGAAGCTGCTGCAGCCAGGATTTGATCCAGCGACCTGGCGGTCATCAGCAGAGTACCTTAGCCACTAGACCACCGCGGAGGGGCAGTTCTGACTAGGCCACCCAGATGTTTTATTGCGATGGCATTAGAGCACACGCTCTAAGAAAAAACAATTTCTGTCAAAATTTGACGCTTTTACTTATTATTATTATTATTCAGTCATTTTAGCAATAGTTCACTAAATTGTGTTTGGCGGCCAAGTTGACTCACGTTGATGACAACATTGCACACAGTGGGGTTGATGAAAACACACACTTCATGGACAATTGCCAGGGAAGGGAAATGAAATTTTTTCCTTCGATCAGGAACTTTGTAAAACTGGCTTTAGCAAGATTAAGTTTTAGCATAACAGTGAAACGTCACCATCATGAACTTCAAAGAACCTCAGAAAGTTGTTAAGTGAAAGTTCACATAACATAAAAATCTATGTTGCAGCTTGTTATCCCAGCTAGAGGGGAAAATTCGGTGTTCAGATGAAATTTCAATTCATTTATCTGTCATGTTCTTCATTTGTGTGTGTATTCATGATTATTGAGGGTCTTGTAATGATTGCGGTAATCTTTTGCTGCACTTGTGCACTTAAGACTGCAGCAATCATGATTGTGAGTCGCTGGGTGGAAGGAATGTAGAAGTCATCAGGAAAGAGAAATTGAAGTGTACGAAACGTAAACTGCCGTAACTATATGGCCAATTCACATCTAATGCACCACAAATTAAGCTAATGCATGAACCATCCCACATTTGCATGGGCATTTGTAAGAGTGCTCATTAAAAGAAGTATATATACTCCTCGCACAGGGCAAAAAAAAAATCTGTTCACAGATTATACATGACATATGGCTCGGCAGAAGAAGGACAGATTTGTTATCGGTGTACTTTAACACCATAGTGTGGTCATGACAAAGAATATAGACAACAAATAGACAAATAAATGCCAAAAAGAGCAAAACTGGACACTGCGTACTTATTTGCGTTTTTACTCTCATGTGTGTTCATCATGTCAACCACACCATGGCAGCTAAGCACTCTACCTCGACAACAGTGTATTCTGAGCTGTACACTTCCCCCATTTTATTTCGACCCCAAACACATTAGCAGTTATCACATTCAGTTACTACATGACGAATGCTTGAAAAAACAACACTGAATGTGGGTAGTTATGTTTAACAGTACTGCCAACATGTCAACATAGAATATAAAAGGCTGTAAATTCAAGCAAATACCCCTTTAACTGCATGTCACCCCCTGCCCCTTTCACATATCAATGAATTTTTTTAGCTACGAATTCGTGCAACTATACATCATCAAGGACAACTGTAACGTGTTCACACCAATGACACGAGAAAGTACATGTGGTCACCACACAACGCCACTGTGATGTCCATATGAGCCTTTTTGTGTCCATGTTTTGCTTTTAACTACTTTAAATCTTTACAAAAAAAAAACTGCTATTCTTATTGAGTGGTTGCACATCAAAATCTCAGTGGGTTTCTCCACAGAGGAAGCCATAGACATTTTGCGTAAAATCAACTTGAGAAAAATAGCATGTGACAAAACTCAGACATTATCTATAACAAAAACTGAAAAATACAAGTAACAGCCTGCCACCAATGGGGCTTTTTAACCGATATTGAATTCTAGAACAAGGAGCCTTGAGCACAGTTTCTATTGTTTTTGTCATCGCTGTTGAATTTTCTATCTTACATTTGCATGTAAATGGGCTTCACATACTAAGTTAATAACAACTTACACTAAAGATTAGTTGAGAGTTAAGCGGTGTTTATCCCGCTCCATGTATGTGTTGGTGTGAGGTTTGCACAACTCTTATCGCCTTCCTGCAGTTTCTAAAAAAAACGTTTGGATTATACCTTTGCAGATTCACAAGCTGAACAGTCAATGCACACTTCTAACGCTGAAAATTGACACTGAAAATGGAATAACGGTTACTAACAGTAAAGCTCCAAACAGCAGCGGCACACTTCACAGACTGAAAGGTCGCGACGTTTATTCACAGCGCGTAGTGTTGAAATTCGCGATATGGTTGCACAATTACAGGCACAAATCCAGTTCAATGCTTGGGCGCCGACACACACAGCGACCAGCAAGAGAAGTCAAGCGAAGCTATTAATGTTTCCCCCAAGAATAACTGATCACGCCTACGGCGACAGTGTCATGTTTAGCTACAGCAGTTGTCAATGCGACTTTAAGAGAAGTCAGCGCACTTCTAGATATGTCACTCCGCTTGTCAAACCAAAAGAGGTCATAGTAAAGAACTTCGCTACTGATATCGCGCTTACAAAGCTGTCGTTAAACGTGAAACCAACAAACCTAAAGTAACCGAAATACAATGAACGGTAATGCGAAACCACGCAAAAGCGATGCTGGTTAAAAGTGACACCACACAATGTAAGGGAGCCAGGAAATACGACAGAAAGATACTGACACTCGCCTTCATGGCGTTGTGAAACTTTGTATTCGAAACTTTTACCTACTTATAAATTTTCTAACTGAATGAGCGCTGTTCACCCACACCATGACACGTAGCTTACACCGATCTCGAGCACGAGAACATGCACGCCGTTCGACATAAGAAGATGAAGTATTCAGCCATCAACCAGAGCCACAGAACTCCTACCAGCTCACCTACGTGCCAGAGCGTGCTCCCCGACCTTATCAGCGTTGATTCTTTTTTACACTTCTCAATCCGAGCGGTGAGTCATCTAGCGCCAATACTTCCGCCAAGCGCTGGCCATTACATTGCACTGTTTGTAATTAGAAGCGTTAATCTCGCGTAGCTTATATGAAACGTCAGAAATATTATTTTTGTTAAAGTAAATCGCTTTAAGTGAGCAAAATGCATATTTATTTTTCCTGTCCTAAGGGACTAAGTGCCCGTTTTTTGTGTTACTCTTCTCGCGCTCTGTTCTTTCCAGTGACGTAATTGATATGATGGAAAACGGCGCTGAAGTTACCTTACGACCATCGTAAGTGTAGCGCGATAATGCTGATTATTATGGTCATTTTCGCATTTTTGGCACCATGTTTCGCCCCCACATCAGGCGGACAATAAATAAGGCCTTAGCTAAAAATTTTACCCCATCGTAACGCGATTTTTTTTTTTGTTGCTTGATAAAGTTGGATGAATGGATAGATTTATATGGCTGTACCCTTTAGATTGAGCGGTGGCTAGCGCCACCAAGCCGTAATACTTTATGTGTAAACTTTAGTGCTTCAATAAAGTATTAACCAGTTTGCCTACCATCTAGTGACTGTTTTTGTAAACATTTTTGCATAATTTTATTTTATGTTTAACGGAAACAAAGTATCCTTTTTCCAGTAGACTACGCGTAGTTCGTTACTAATTCAATTTACTACAATTTTTGTTGCGTTATTGAACGTGTGCAATCGGACTTGCAGTAACCATCTGGTAGGTGTTCTGTGCAGCAGCTAACAAAGCGGCTCTCGCATCGAGTGTGCCTGTTCGTGCATGCATGGGAGAGAATGGCGCGTTTGTTGTGAATGTTGCGGCCCACGATCTCAGTGCGTAGACACATGGTCATTGTCACCTGACGTTTGTCATCTCGTCGAGCGTTTTGTACCCTATAAAGTTTCGTCATCTTGGAGGATCAACCATTCGTCGTAGTGCGCGTCTCCACGTGAACCAAGATGAGCACTGCCGTGCGTAAGCTGTGCACTTTGTCTAAAGATCTGTATCTGCGCAGTCGGCCGAGCGCGCCTCTGTTGCGGCGCTTGTACTGCGAGGAAAGGCCGGCTACGTTCGAAAAAAGCATCAATCAGGCAAGTATTGCGTAGGTTAATTTATTGAAAGGTTTTTCCATCGCTCTGTCGTGTAACTTGCGACCGCGCCCGCTTTGCAAGACTGGCATCGTCTCAAAGCGATCATATATACATACGTGTAAAAGTTGACAATACGAAGTCAATTAAGGTACTGTTACTGACGGTGTTATAGTATACGTGTTCTTGCATGGCTTCTCGTGGTTTCTGAAAGCGTGCGCTTTGAGGAATTGCACCAATCATTGTTAGTGCAGCACAACTTAATAGGTACTCTGCACCTTAGATGTAAGCATCATAATGCTGTGGCGTGGCAGCAATTTATTCACCGCTGCTTTTATGCAATGTGGCCATTTGGGTCTGAACCCATGTCGCCGTTTCTTTGTATGAAAATCGTGTATTTCTTCCTCGCTGCAGGTAACCCTCTTGGGCCGCGTTGGAATAGAGCCCCAGCTACGCGGCACTGACGCGAACCCGGTCGTTGTGTTCACATTGGCCACAAACAGCAACTACCGCTATGAAACGGGGGAGGTACAGCAGAAGACCCAGTGGCACCGTATCAGCGTGTTCAAGCCATTTCTTCGCAACTCGGTACACCAGTACACGCGCAAGGGCTCTCGAGTGTTGGTCCAAGGACGTTTAATTTATGGTGAAATAACAGACGCCAAGGGTGCAACCCATGTGACCAGCACGGTGGTGGCAGATGATGTCATTTTCTTAAGCCAAGGTGCTAGAACAGCCAATGCGGAGGAGGATACTCTTGCAGAGGCCGAGTTTCAGTAAACAAAGCCCATGCTACGTGTGCCACGGCTGTAGAGAGCTGAAAGTCGTTCACTGTTTTCTTTTTGGTGATGAGAGCGAGCAGTATTACATTATGAAGTTTCATGGAAGTTTCAAGCATTCATGTAAAGCCATGGTTTTGCACCCATGCCATAGCATTTAGGCTTTGAATCCTTAAAGTTTTACATTGTTTTTTTTTGTTTACTTGGTCAGTTTAATTGGTTTCAAGTAGTATCAAGTTGTGTCCAGTAATATTCCTCTCCCCCATGTTATGTTTCAACACATTACCTCAGCTTTACTTTTGCTTATGAGTGCTAAGTTTTTGCACTGTTTATTTTAATTTCCCTTGGTCAGTTTGTTTACCTAGTTTTAAGCAATATCAGGTTTTGTCCAATGCTCTTCTCCTCCCCCTGCTTATTTTTGACAGGGTAGTTGAGCCGTTGATATAGAAATGTCTATCATATATGTTTCTATGTTCTCGGCTCATTGCAAGCATTATTTTGGCACTACAAAGCAAAGGGATGAGTAATGATGAAAGCTGTATGAAGCCTGTCAAATTTGCCTCATCAGCTATATTTGCAGTTGTCCTGTTCTGTAACATGAAGGTAGTAGCACTTTTTTGTCTCCTGTAGATTATCTATATTTCGGCTGGGATTCTCTACCTCAGTCATGCCAGCTGTAGCCAAGAAAAGTACTCAATATATAAACAAAAGGTTATTTCATAACTGTTCAGTAAATGGCAATGAATAGTTTTCACGCATTTACCATTCTTTGAGCTTTTCATTATTATCAACTCACTGATGCCTTTTTTGACTGGATTAACTGAATCGAAAGGAATAGTGCTGCCAAAAAAAGACATCTTAATGGCATTTGTGCCATGTTAATGGAAGTGCATCCAATAGAGATACATGTATAATTATATTTCAGCAGTCACCTGTTTTACAAAGCTACCTAATGTTTGGGCTCTTAATAGTCTTGCATCATATGATGCAGTAAATTGTTGTAGTATGACAGAGTGAAAACTATGACCTGTCATTATATTTTGGAAATTGCTACATTTAATTAACCATGTACAATACACACTGTTGTTTAATGACTGGCACTACATTTGACATGAAGAGCAGATATGTAGTGTTCTCAATTCATACAAATGTTGAGCCTGCACTTGCGTATAGCTTTCACCTCTGCTTAGTGCCATTGTGTGTAGCCAGCAATATCATTGCAAGCTATAGTAAGTTATGCAAGACCTGCTCAGATCGGGCATTCTTGTAGTTATTACTGGCTCTAGTTTGGATGAAGTTGGTTATATACCTTTAGAAAATGTCGCACTGCTGTCCTACTGAAGAATCGGTGAACGGCACTCACTAGATTGAAAAACAATATTCAGTTGTCAAATTCATCTGCAATGTGATTGTCTGTCAAAAATGTGTAAGTATCCTCTACCCCATTGTGTAGCACTGAAATGTCTGGTCTGTTCTAATTTGCGTTAAGCTCTGTAGTTTGATGTCTTGGCTGCTGGAAAAGCCTGCATTTTGTTTATGGTATGAAATGCTAATGATTCAGAGACTTCATGAGCAGAATAAATATTGTGCTTAAAGCTTACTGTCAATTGGCCCGTGTTATTTGACCATTGTCAGTGAATTGGTAAGTAAATGCTGTCTGATTTATGTGCAGTGCTCTTACTTTCCTATATAAATTGCATTACTTCACTGACTTTAGTATCATGATAGCTATGGTATACTGCAGCTTAGCTCACTGTTGCAAGTACAGTTCCAGGCCATGGCAGCCATCCTTACAGAGGCAGAATGCAAAAATGCTTGTGGGCATTCCAGCAAGCATGGGTTTCTTGCTAAAAGTTTTGGGATATAAAAAAAAAACAATCTGCCACTATTAGAATATCTTGTATTTGCCAGCAGTAATGAGACAATGCTCTTCAATAGAGACTTCATTGATGACCTGTCCTTATCTTAAACGAATGCAGAACATGCGGTAACTTCCGTCACTTATGAAGTCGCACCACAGCCAAATATTTGAATGAAAAAGAGAGGTTCGGCCTGGCATTGCATAAACATAGTATTTTCCAATATCAATGATTGACCTGTGTCACTGGGGTGGCATTAACCTACGCTGTGCCACTTCGTGGTTCTTGCTGTTATACGAGCATCGCCGCCACCCTAACCAGTCAACAGTGGCACGCCACTTCACCAGTGACGTTTCTCGTCAGTTCACATGACAGCCGCATGTGACGGCAACTAATGATTGATATGTGGGGTTTAACGTCCCCAGAGCACCATATGATTATGAGAGACGCCGTAGTGGAGGGCTCCGGAAATTTGGACCATCTGGGGTTCTTAACGTGGACCCAAATCTGAGCCCACGGGCTACAGCATTTTCGCCTCCATCGAAAATGCAGCCGGGATTCGATCACGCGGCCTGCGGGTCAGCAGCTGAGTGCCTTAGTCACTAAACCACCGCGGCGAGGCTGTGACAGCAACTAGGAATTCTACTATTGCGCTCTTGAAAATGCTGAAATTACCACGAACTTATCTTGGGAGCGCTTGCGAAGGACGGTTTTGATATGGAGACGTGGGTGTGGCAAAACAAACACACTTTATCACCCCAAACAAAACCGCCAACAGTAATCTCGTACTCAGAAATCACTCCCAAAAGTAAACTTGTGCAGGCGCAAGCATAATTGTGCATACCACGGGATGGCGTGGCTGAAGGTATCGACACGCTATCTGGCGACGAGACGCCTACTGCGGTGCGCATGTGTGTCCCTTCGTATCAGTTCGCATCTCGTGTCGCTCTCACCGGCGCCCTCGTAGCCAAAATGACACGTGGGTGTGGTTGTCTTTGCTCCATCAAATTTGTGCCGTCCTTTTTTTTTTCTTCGTGTAGTGGCTGTGGTGGCACAGGTTCCAGCACCGTGCTGACGTCGTTATTTATGCCTTTATGCCGGTTCATTAGCATAACTAAGCGTAGCCAGCCTGAGCAGCCACGCAAAACCTGATGAAGCCAAGCGCACAAGATTAAGTTTTCTCAGCTCAGCTTGCCTTTGTCGCGTTCGGCGCCGCTTAACTTAAATTATCCTAGTTAAGTGAATATAAGTGTAGCCAAATCTAATCTATAGCCTAGTTGAGCGTGGTATCAACTAATAATAAATTCGGGCTCAAGTAAGCTTAATTTAGCCCAGTCCAGCTTGCTGTTTCATTGTTAAGCAGGCTTCGATGCACCCAGACTGATCGAGAAAAGTACACGTATACAGCCAAACCCAATTAAGCATAATTAATGAAGCTATCATTTATTTAGCCGAGCAAAATTAATCCAAATAAGGCAAACCTTCTCGTGGCCAAATAATCCAAGTCGATTTCCACATGAGCCTAGAGGCGCCAAACCGTGGAAGATACTAATTACATCTTACTGACACTATACCAATTAGGCTGATTTATGTCCAATTAGTGGTAATTGAGATGCATACATGTTATGGCCGAATAATTAGTTTGATAATCATCCTATCACACAAGAAATACTGGAGTTTGACGAGACATATTAGGCTAAATATGCATAACAAGCTAATGACCTTCCTTGAAGGTCATTAGTTTGTTATGCATATTTAGCCTAATTGTTTAGCCTGAAGGAAGGTCATAAACTTCCTTCAGGCTAAAAAATGGTGAGCACGAAAAACACGAGTTGCGTAGATCAGCCAATTAATTGATTGGTGACGTACGCGCCAATTTTCAGAAAACAGTGACAAATAATGAAAACATGCAGAAAGAAGGTAGTGTCAGTTCCTTGTGCGCACAAGATTTCCCATAACCTAAAGAACGTAGATAATCGATATGGCCTAGAAGTTGTTTTTCGGCACCAAACGAGCTTAATAAAATATGTTCCCAACTAGACCGGAAAGTTTCCATAGCAGCAATAACTAATGGCGGTAGTTGTACGATAAATCACACTACAATGATTGTTAAATGTATCCTAGCTGTTGTGTATTGCTTGCCGTTATCATGTGGTAAGATATACATTGGCCAGACCGGTTGTTGTTTAAACAACCGTCTTTTAGAATATAAGTGACCATTGGCAACCAACATACATTCTCACATAACGGCGCACTGCTCTCAGTGTGGCTGCTCGCCACTGTTCGGGGATACAACCGTACTCTTCCGTCATGGGAACCAACTAACCAGAGAAATTGTCGAAGCCTTCCACATTAGTGAAAGAAAAGATGGCTGTATTAGCCAGTCATCAGTGTCGTCAAATAACCGAGACTTAAGCCAGATTCCTCGAAGGACTTTTATTAAAGTCAGTGTTCACATGTGCCACATGTCTGTCATGTTGTTTGATATTGCGATTCAGGCACATGTAAATTCCCGCCAAACATTTTTTTTGTCTGATAATACCCCCCTCCCCCCAGCGCTGTTATTTCTTGTGTCATCCAAAAGAGTCTACGCACAACTGACGTATGCTATCACTCGATGTTCGTGTCTTTGTGTTTAAAATTCTGTTTCAGGCATATGTAAATCCACGCCAATGTTGTTAATGATACTCAGCGCGGTATTTGTTATATCATCTCAAGGTTTCGAAGCTTATCTGCCGTGTATTCTATCACTTGAAAAAGTGTGTTTTTTTTGCAATTATTCTATGTTCGTAGCTTTTTTCTGTGTCGCTAGAGATTTGGGTTGTATATAAAGTGTTGCTGCTGAAATAAAATTAGTTGCGAGCGTAGCGAGTGTCGTGTTTTTTTTTTTTTTGTCCTCTGTGCCCCCGTCAAATTTGCGCTACTTCACCATATGTTAAAATATTTCTCAAACTAGCTCAGCTCTCAGCCCTATTGATACTTCCTCATAATGTGGTGGGGATTAGCGACAACAAGACGCTTCTTCCGGTCCTCAACTCCTCTGTGTCGACCCAGGTCATTCCTCAAGGTACCGCCTTAGCAGAACTCTCCGCTCTGGAGCAATGTTTAATTTCATCTTTCATTCCTGACATCAAGACCGCATGCCGCACCTGTCGCAGGCGCGCAGAATGGAGTTTTCCTGGACAAAATGATACCAAACGACATGTCGCCGTCCCAAGTTGAAGCGCTCCGTGGCCTTCTATTTTCTTTTCTCGACATTTTTGATATCGACGACCGTTCTTTAGGCCGCACGAGCGTCGTAGCCCACCGTATCGACAATAGTGACGTCAGTCCCATTCATAAGCGTCCTTACCGTGTGTCTCAATCAGAGCGCTAAATAATCCAGAAGGAGGTAGAGAAAATGCTCGACAAAGACGTTATAGAGGCTTTATCCGGTCCTTGGACATCCCCTGTTGTGCTTGTTTAAAAAGGACAACATCTGGCGGTTCTGCGTCAACGATCGCCATCTCAATCGAATAACCAAGAAGGATGTCTATCCTCTACCTTGAATTGATGATGCGCTCGACTGCCTTCATGCACGGAGGAAGGAAAGGTAGGAGAGGCCCTAACGTCACTCTTTGTGAAGCCGCGATGAAGCCGGAAGTCGGCCATATTGACTGGGCAAATTCTCTTCTCTTGTTTACATCCGAATGTAAAGCAGAAGGCACGTCTATAGGGTGGCTAGCATGACTCTCTCTCCGGCTCCGAAAGCACGTGCGCAGCGCGCGTGTCGTGACGATCCGAAACTAATGGAATGGGGCTCAACACTCTGGGCCAGCGCGACACCTTCGGTGAAATCATTTCATCCGATTGATAACAGCGAGTAACAGCTCACCGACAACGAAGCAAGTACAAGAGAACGCGCGCTAGATGCACTGACAACGGCGAGTGTTTTCACGTCATTAATTCAGCAACTGCACAGACAACACGTTCGGTCGTGCGCCTTCTACGGTTGCATTCCGCCACGCGGCCGACGCAACGTCCGGCCACTGTGTCCGTGTTCCACGTGAAACTCATCGGCGTCAGCATTCTGCGACCGTGGTGACTTTGAATACGGTGCAAGTGACACTTGAACGCAGTTGCTGTTATGTTGAGATCACATGCAATGTTGGGGGAGAGTATACGAAGCGTAACAGAAAAGGTGTTTTAATACAGACATGCAAGTTGTTACCGTACACACAGAACACTATACTACGTATGTGCACATGATCCTCATTGCGTCTTGCTGGGCTCAACAGCGTCGTCCGGAGCACTGCCCAACCGTCACTGACCTGCAAGGCGTTCGCCGTCGTTTCGCTTCGTCATGGTGCCCAGCTCAAATTAGCTGAACACTATTTGCTTCATCCGCGTCATCCGCCGCACGACACATGGATATGTACTCGTTCTACGCACTGTTGAAACCCCGTGATGGGCAAAAGGATTTGTAAACGTTGCTGAGAGTGCAGTAACTGCCAGGAGAACACTGCGTAACCAATAACGCGGCGCAGAGCACGGATATTGTCCGCCACGACTCAGCACAAGACCTGGGGAGGCACACATGCCACCGCCAGCCGCGGCCGCTCACAGCTAGACCAGCTCCACTGCGCAACGCGTAACCATATAGCAACGCCGCCATTGTGCCCAGTGAATATGGCCGCCATGATGTCATTTCCTCCATACTTTTCACGCAGTGCGCCGGCTGGGCATGCCCTCTCCTACCTTTCCTTCCTACGTGCCTCCATGGTGCCAAGTATTTCTCTACACTGTACCTACGATCTGGAAATTGGCAAATTTCAGTCGATGACCGCGATTGCGAAAAGACAGCATTCATTACACGAGACGGGCTTTATCAATTTAAAGTCATGTTTTTTGGGTTGTACAATGCTCCTTCCACTTTTGAACGCATGATGGACTCTCCTCACGGTTTTAAATTGTCGACGTGCCTGTGCTATCTAGACGATGCCTGTTTTCTCGCCAACCTTTAAAAGCCACCTTCCACGTCCGTTGGCCATTCTTGACGTTTTTTGCTGGGCTGGACTGCAGCTTAACGCGTCGAAGTGCACCATTGGACGCCGTCAGATCAAACTGCGCGTGGCCATCTTGTTGACGCTAATAATGGACGACCCGACCCTGACAAAGTTCGAGCTGTACGCGATTTTCCGGTCCCACGTCCCATGCAAGAAGTCCGCAGCTTCTTGGGGCTCTGCTCGTATTTCCACCGTTTTGTCAGCGATTTCGTGCAAATTGCTCAGTCCCTCATGTACCTCCTCAGAAAGAACGTGAGTTTTTCCTGGCGCGAGGACCAAGAACATTCATTTGTGTCGCTGATTTCTGCGCCCACATCAACACTGGTGTTGGCTCATTTTAACCCAGTCGCTCGAACGGAGGTTCGCACCGATGCAACTGGCCATGGCATAGGGGCAATACTCACTCAAATGCCGAACGGCACAAACCGTGTCGCGTACGCTAGCCGCTTACTTTCCCAGTCACCCCGCCGCGGTGGTCTATAGTGGCTAAGGTACTCGGCTGCTGACCCGCCGGTCGCGGTATCGAATCCCGGCTGTAGCGGGCTGCATTCCCGATGGAGGCGGAAGTGTAGGCCCATGTGCTCAGATTTGGGTGCGCGTTAAAGAACCCCACGGGGTCGAAATTTCCGGAGCCATCCACTACGGCGTCTCTCATAATCATTTGGTAGTATTGAGACGTTAAACTCCACATATCAATCAGTTACTTTCCAGTCGGAGAGAAACTATTCTATTACTGAGCGGAGTGCCTGGCTCTCGTCTGGGCTATCGCAAAATTCTGTCCGCACCTATATGGACGCCCGTTCGCAGTCATTACAGACCACCATGTGCTCTGCTGGCTGTCAACACTTGAGGATCCTACAGGAAGACTCGGGCAATGGGCCTTGCGATTGCAGGAGTACATATTCTCGGTAGTGTACAAGTCTGGCAAGCTTCACAGCGATGCCGACTGTTTATCTCGACACCCTGTTGATCCACCCAACTCCTCTGAGTTGTAATCCGATGCCGACATCCTAGCCACAATAGATTTTATGCACATGGTGAACGAACAACGCCGAGCTCCATCGCTGCTATCTATGATTGACCGTCTTCAATCCGGTCCCTTCACTGAGCTTGTTTTTGCTCCAAGACAACGTTTTGTTCCGCCGCAACTTACAGCCCGATGGCGCGGAACTTTTGCTTGTCGTCCCACGTCATCTGTGCAAGGACATCTTGCAAGAACTTCACAACGCCCACACTTCTGGACATTTAGGTGTCTCCAGAACCTATGACTGCGTCCGCCGACGGGTATTCTGCAGGGTGTTCCGACTCCGTGTCCCGCGGGTCTCATTCTGACAGCGGGCCCCCGTTTCACGACCCATCGTCCAACAAGTCAGATAAGGCGCTCGTAAGAACGACAACAATTTATTTACATGGTTAGTAACTGAGAATTTAAAAGTAGGTGATCAGGTAGAACGAGAACTCAAGAACTCTACAGGAAAACTGTTGAACTGTAGAACTTAAATATACAAAAGCCTTCTGCTTATATAGCGCCGCGCTGCCAGCCTTGGGCGCATTGTCCGCGGCTTCAGCCAATACGGCGCTCGACAGTCTAGGTGCTCCACCCACGAAGGTGGGGAAAGACACCACACAATGCACGTGGAGAGGGCACAGTCTACACGATGCCCAAATATGGTCACAAACTCACTGCACTGACGTTTCGCACACGTCACCAAGAGATCCGTTCGATTCACCTGCACCAGTCAGAACCGGTTCACAGCTGTGCACGCGAAGTTCAGAAATTGTGCAGCGTGAGTTCAGCGGTGCAGGCACAGCACGACACCCGAAACGAATGACGATGTGCCGACAAGGTGCAGGCCTTATTTCTTTTCGCTTAATTTACACCGTTCAGTAAACACTGACCGATGGCGAATCGAACATGCGGACAGTTTATGAGACGCAAACATCTTTACAAAACCCACCGCGTTTGTATAGGCGGGTACACGGCGCCTAAGCCACCTACGCCAAAGTGCTGCGTCGTCCGCTCCGCTGCACGCGCGGCTGCACCAAGCCGGCACCGTCAGCGTAGGAGGTGCAAGAAAATTGTGAACCAGTGCTACACCTCTTATGTACCTTTCGAAACGAATGGCATGGTTCAGAGGCCGTCATTGCTACACTGCTGAAACGAATGGCAAGGTGCAGCACCTCGTGAACTGGTTCGCGTGGTGCAGGCGAATCGAACGGACCTGAGAATGCGGGCACGTCAGATGATCTCAGATGACCTTGGTTTCCGTGAACCCTTCTGGCAGTTGGGTGAGGTTCGAAAAACCGGCTCCCAGTACACGTGCCAAACTTGCCTGACTGCGTTCGGGTAGGACAATGTAGTGGCCTGACAGTTTCTCGTCAAAACATGCCACTCCATTTAGCCGATCCTATGGAGAGGGAGAAGGAGCTGCCGTCGACTAATCCATCGTAGTAGAGGCGCTGAGGTGGGCTCCCACAAGGGCTGCAGCATATAGTGCCCTTTTCCTTTCCTTCAACCACACATTCAATCCCTGCTTGTTAGCTAGAAGCTGCGGCTTAGCTGCGAATTTCCAGGGCTTCGCTTCTCCTCGCAAGGTGCAGCCACAACCGGTTTGGGTTTTAGCTTCCAGCCCACTGCAAATGCCATGTTGGTTCTGGTCTCCCCAGATCCACAGTGACCTCTAAAATGGCCCAGCTGCCTTTTTTTTGCCGCCAAAGCCTTGCATAGAGTCGAGCTCACAATGGCCTTTCTTGGCTCGTGCGTTTTCTTTGCGCGAACTGGTCCTGGACCCTTTGTTCACGTTTTGCTGACAGGAAATCAACCCTTCTTGACGAAACATCCTTGCTTGGAATGCGTCGAAATTTTTTTCTTCCAGTTCTGTCAAGCCGAGAGACTTCAATATAGATGACGGTCATAACAAGAGAGAGAGAGAGAGAGAGAAACAACATTTTTCACGCATCCGGCGTGCGGGAAGTCACCGGCCGCGCAGGGCGCGGGTATTCCCTATCTAAAGACTATGGCTAATAGTCCTATAGTCCCAGGCCCTAGATCTTGAGGACGTTGTGCTCTGGCTAGGCGTTGAATACTCGGGCTCCTCCGCTCCCGTTGTCCGGGGCGTCGGTTCCCTTTCTCGTCTGCTTTGCCAGGGCCTCCTCAAGCCGCTGGATGGCCCTTCGTTGTGTGTTTGAGTCTTGGGAGCGTATCCATGCTCCCACCTCTTCGGGATATGTGGCGTCCTGGCACTGCCCATTCCCATTGTTCACACCACTGTTACACCCGCCCCACATGATGTGGCGGAGGGTGGCTAGTTCACGTTCGCACGCGCTACACTTAGCGTCCACAAACATGTCGGGGCATACGTGCCGGGCCAATGCTGGCATTAGCACGCATTCCGTTTGCAGTTGTCGGAGCTTCACTGCTTCCGCACGTGACAGTTCACGATGCGGGGGCGGAAAGGCTCTCCTGGCCTCTCTGTAGGCCGCCAGGATCCCTCCGTAGTCGGTGAGGGGATCGAGGTCTTCTTCTCGTTCTTCACCGCTGGTTTCAGGGAGACGGGCTGCCGCGGTCCAGCACGTGATGAGATCACGGGCCACAGCGTCCGTCTCCTCGTTGCGGTTCTCAATGTCGGGAGCCAGTTGTCCCATGTGGGCTGGGAACCATTTGAGGGCGATGGTTGGCCCTGTAGCGGCGCCGCGAGCAGCCCGCGAAGCCGCGATGGACGTCACTAGCCACTCCGTGCCCCGCCAGACCTTGTTTCGGGCAAAATTCCTGATTGCCTGCTTTGAGTCGCTTAGCACCGTGCGCGTGCCCGGCCTACCTGTGGACAGGGCTATCGCCGCCTCCTCTGCCTGGCCGGCTGTTCGGGCGTGCACGGTACTTGCTGTTAGTAGTTTACCGGTAGTAGCGCTGACCACCACTGCTGCGAAGGCGTTGCGTCTTCCCGGATATCTTGCGGCGTCCACGTAGACTGCGCCCTCGTCTCTCTGATGTTGAAGGGCCAGCGCCGCTGCTCTCGCCGCTCGCCTGCCCGCATCCCTTTCTGGGTCCATGTTCTTTGGCAGCGGGTAGACAATGATTTTCCTCGCTGCCTCATCGCTCAGGGGGACTTGTTCTTCTAGCTCCCCGTCCGGTCCTGCTCCCTCCCGGGCGTTCTCCAGGAGGTAATAATCCCACCCGATCGAGTAATCCTCTGCCCGCGGCTGTGTCGCTCAGGCGGCTCAGCTGCGAAACTCTCTGGGCCTCGCTGATCTCCGAGAGCGTGTTGTGTGTTCCCAGAGACAGCAAGGCCGTTGTCTTTGTGCCTGGTAGGAGCCCAAGAGCCCCTGTGTAAGCCTTCCGGATGGCAGCGTCGATCTTGGCTCGTTCCGCGCCGGTCCAGCGGTGAAAGGCCCCCGCATATGCCGCGTGGCTTATAACGAAAGCCTGCAGCAGATGCAGGAGCCCCCTCTCTTTCATGCCCCGGTAGCGGGACGACATTCGCTTGACCAGGCGCGCTGCGATGCCCATCTTGGTTGTGATGTTCTTGACCGCCGTGGCGTTGGTTTGGGTGCCGTCCACGAACATCCCTAGGACTCGAAGCCCCGGGACGTGCGGGATCTGCATACCGTCACTGGTGCGCACGATGATGTTCTCGGCCGCCTCTCGACTTGCCTTCTTTCTGTGCCTCCCAGGTGGTGGCAGGATGAGTAGCTGTGATTTTTGTGGCGAACACCGCAAGCCCGTGCCCGAGAGTGCGGACTCCATGGCGTCCGCCGCCGCCTGCAGACCCGCCTCGATGTCTCCGTCGCTTCCACCCGTGGCCCAGATGGTTACGTCGTCGGCGTAGAGACAGTGTCGTATCCCTGGGCCCAGCGCCTCCAGACGCCTGGCCACCTCGATCATGACAATGTTAAACAGGAACGGGGAGATGACCGAGCCCTGTAGGGTCCCGACACTACCCAGCTCTCGTTCTTCGAGCTTCGTTCCTCTCACCTCCAGCCTGGCCGTGCGGCGAGAAAGGAAGGCTTTGATGTAGTTGTACGATCTTGCGCCCAGCCCCAGGCGGGACACCTGAGCCAGGACCGACGAGTGTCTAACGTTGTCGAAGGCGCTCTGCAGGTCCAGGCCCAAGATCGCTCGGTTGTCATTCTTTGGAGTCCCGCCCGGAGGGTCAAGGACTTCTCGTTGGATCAGGAGCATGGCGTCTTGCGTTCTCAACTTGGCCCGGAAGCGAAGCATTGAGTCCGGGTAGACATGGTGCGCTTCCATGTAACGGTTCCACCGGGTGTTAAGAACGTGCTCCATGACCTTGCCCACGCAGGACGTCAGCGAGATGGGACGCAGACCCTCTATACCCGGTGGCTTGTTTGGTTTTGGCAGCAGGATCGTCTTTGCTGTCTTCCAGGCCTTGGGCAGCTTGCCGTTACGCCAGCATTCGTTGTAGTAGCGTGTCAGTGATGGGATGGCTGAGTCCCTCAGGTTGCGTAGAGCTTTGTTAGTAACTCTGTCGGGTCCGGCGGCCGAACGACAGTTCAGGTCCTGCGCCGCCTGCCTCACTTCCCATTCCTCTAGATCTCGGTCGAGGTGGAGGTTCGGCTGGCCGGCGTAGTCTGGGTGGTCTTCGTGACTTGTGATGGGGAGGTAGCGCTCGTTGAGTCACTTGAACATCTCCTCTTCGCCCAGTTGACGAGCGGTGGTATGTAGGATTTGGGCCATGCGTGTACGTTGGTATTCGCAGCTCTTGGTCTCATCCATCAGTTGCCTGAGGAGTTTCCAAGTGCCGCCGCGGTGAAGCTGTCTATCAGCCTGGCTGCAGAGTGCAAACCACTGCTGTGAGCAGAGCTGCCTGCTGTGTCGCTCGATCTCTCGGCCAAGTTCTGCGATCTTCTTTCGTAGCTTTCTGTTGTGACGTTGCCGCCGCCAACGGTTTTGGAGCGAGCGCCTGGCTTCGAGGAGGTGGGCTAGTCTCGGGTCCATGGTTTCGATTTCTTCGGGTGCATTGATCTCTTCTGTGGCCCCTTCTGTTGCCGCCAGCAGCTTCGCTGACCACTCGTCGATATTGTCGACTTCGCTTAGTTCTGTGTTACGGAACTTGCTCCAGTCGACGAGTTTGTGCTTTGATGTTTTGTCGCGGTTCGGGTTTCCGTTGAGATGAGCCAGCGGTGATTCAATTTCGATGATGAAGTGATCGCTGCCCAGGTTGATTCCCGTATTCCTCCATTTCGCGGTGCCACCTTCGGGCAGCATCGCAAAGGTGAGGTCCGGATTTGTATCCCGGGCAACCGATGTTCCGATCCTTGATGGATGGGCTGGATTGATGAGTAACGTGAACTCGGCTTCGCTGGCATCTTCGAGAAGGTTCCTTCCCTTGGACGTGGTGGTCGTGTAGCCGAGCTCTCGATGTTGGGCGTTGAAATCGCTGCATATTACCGCGGCAGCGTCTCCTCTTTTGGCCAGGTCTTTCTGTGCTTGTGATGTGGCACTCTTGATCTTATGGAAAAGAGTTTTGAATTTCTGCTTTCCATGTCTTGGATTGCTATAGATGTTAGCGATGAAGACGGTGGTTGATGTCTTCTTCTTTCTTCCACCCCGGGTTTCTCGTCCTTTGCCGCTAATCGCTAGCTCGGTGACGCACAGCTCGATGGCGGTGTCCCTGCTGCCCAGGAACTGTTGGTGTTTCACGTGGGCGATGCCTTTCCGGATGAACGGGCACACGCCCTGCGCCGCACCCTTCCCGCATGTGCGAGCGGACGGAGGGCAGGCGTGTGTCCGATACCCTGGCAGCGTCGGCGTGTCTTCGGTGTGGGTTTCTTGAACCGCTATCACGTCCGGGCGAGCCGTCGGTGCCAGCGATCTCAAGTACTGTTGTAGGATTGCTTTTCGGCACCGGAACCCGTTGGCGTTCCAGTGCCAGATCTTGATCCTATTGTTGCTGTTCATTATGAGGGAGAGCCTTTTGTGTTTGGCAATATTGATGCACCACTTCACCAATTAGCGGCTGCAGCTTCTCGGGGCTCAGGGCCCTCTCTAGCGCTTGCTCGATTTGGAGCTGAATCGTTTGCGCAAGTTGTTGTTGGATGACTTGGGTGCATTTCGTGAGGATTCTCTGCTCGAGGCCCTCAAAGCTCTTGCCCCATTTTTTGTAGCTCTCGCGTTCCGACCGATCTTCTTACTGAAGCTCCCGTAGCCGAGAGGTTTGGTCCTGTCTCCATTGTTTGTAGTTGCCACCGAAATGACCGAGGCACTACCATCTTCTTCCTTGTTGCTTTCGCTTTCTAGTTCCTCTTCGTGTTGTGCTTCCAACCCTCTTGCCACCGCAATCATGGATGCCCTTGTCGGAGTCTTCGCTTTGGCGGTTAATTGGTAGGTCTTAGGGGTTGTAGTGTTGACAAAGCGGTTGCCCGCGATGTTCGTTGAGGTTCCGTTGTCATCCTCATCGGCGTCTGTCGCCATCTTGTTGTTGGCTTTGTTCCTTGATCCCCCCTCTTGAAGCCTTCTAATGGCGTCTCGTTGTTCGTCGATGACGCCTCGTTGTTGTTTGATGGTGAGCTGCGTCGCCGCCATCGCCGTCTGGAGTTCCTCCATCGCCTTCTTCATTTTCTTAACGGTAGCTTTCAACTCCCGCGTCTCTTTCTTGCATTGTTCTCTGCAGCCGCCGCCGCTTACGGTCATAAAAAGGGCCTTTATCGTTCCGTTCGCCGCTACGTTGCAGCGTGTGACCTGTGCCAGCGCCGGAAGAAGCATCCATCTCTCCCTGCCGCTTTATTAAGCTTCGCCAACTGTAAACGTCCGGCGCAGGACTCCCCAGGAATTTGTTTTTCGAGGGGGGGGGGTGCAGCAAAACGACTAACTTTAGCGATTGGTGGCCGTTGTGAATGCGTGTAACCATTTTAGTATAACTTGAAAAGTTAAATTGCGTAAAAATTCATGGTTTATGGGGCATAGGTCGGCGAACACACTCATGCGTCGACTCAGTGGACTGAGTAAGACTCGGATCAAGCCGTGAGGCTGAGTCTTAGTGAATCCGGGTGAGTAAAATTTTGGTGAATGCGAGTCCCAGTGAGTCCGGTTGAGGAAAATTTTCGCAAGTGTGAGTACGAGTGAGGTCGGCTCAGAAAAAATTTAGTGAGTCGGAGTCCGAGTGAGTCCAAAGCGCAAAATGTATTCATTGAATTCCGCTTTCTTTTGCCGACCTAAGGTCCTATCTAGTCATCTTGAGCATTACTATCGGCCTTACCTGGGTTCACGTTTATGCTCACGTCTACTCACAGGTATTCAAAGGAGTGTCGTTCACACACCATTTCAATATTTATTAATTAGAGGCGTTGATGATATGTGGGGATTAACGTCCCAAAACCACCGTTTGGTTATGAGAGACACCGTAGTGGAGGGCTCCAGAAATTTCTATCACCTGGGTTTTTTTAACGTGCATCAAAATCTGAGCACATGGGCTTACAGCATTTTCGCCTCTATCGAAAATGCAGCCGCCGAAGCTGGGATTCATTCCCGCGACCTGCGGGATAGCAGCCGAGTACCTTAGCCACTAGACCACCGCGGCGGGGCTAATTAGAGGCGTGAATTACGTAAGAGGGGGTGCTTTTATCTCTCCCCACCAACTCTTCCACAGAATTTCTTGATTATTATGTCTATGCTGTCATCTCTTCTAAGAAAAATGACCTTTGGTTTGGAAACACTCAGAACTCGAAGATGCTACGTCAAACGGCACCCTGAAAAATACCGATTACGTGAGGTATTGGTGTTGAAGGGCATTGACACCATGGTCAAAGAAGCTAATTCTACGCTGACTGACTCATGAGTCGACTCACTCGTACTTAGACTCAGATGAAGCTGTGAGTCTGAGTTAAGCCTCATGAGTAATGTTTCGTTGCGTTTAATTCCGAGTGAGTCCGGCTGAAGAAAATTTTCGTGAGTCCAAAGCTGAATATATATTTCATGAGTGAGTCTGAGTCAGCTCCACAAGTTTTGCCGACATATGTATGGTAGAAGGTTCAGACCCCCTTCCTCTCCTATCTCTACTTACGGCCTCCTGGTTCCGTGTGCGTTTGACACGGTATTGTTTTTAGTCTCACAGCTTTCTGAGCACAGCTAACTTCCAATAAATCGGCTCAGTTATTATGAATACTGTAGACGTCTAACCAACGAAGAAAGAATTCAAAGAGAAGAAATTGGAGTAAGACACGCCCTTTCTAAGTAATTTTTGATCTCTCGCAACGGCTGATTGAACCTAAGTTCAGTACTTTGGCGTGTCATCCCTCAAGGGTTATGACAGCATCTGCTAGACGTGAATGACGGGAAGACACAAATAAATTTGGATTCAAAATAATGCCCCGGGGGAGCCGAAGTGCATAGCAGTTTGTGCACGCGGCGTGCGGCTAGCGCGGAAGGCATCAGGCGGCGAGGCGCCGTCACGCCACTCAAGGTTAAAGTGTATTAGAACAATTATAATACACTTTAACATTAGTAAGCAAAATCGCGCCACCAGGTTTAATATGGCTGCCTGTTATGCGAAGATGCCCATAGTGTTAGTGCATATTTTTGCGTTACTGAATTACGTTTTAATATTAATCAGATCTCATTGTTTTTCGTTCATTCCACAGGCCTAAGTTTTTTCATGACCCTACTAAAAATAAATATATTTTAATGAGTGTAACTTCAGTTGAGAGTGTTGCCGTGTAAGTCACATCCTTAATGACATCTTTATTATAAAAAATTAACAAAACATGGCACTTACTTTAAAGTGCTAACATTTGTCTACAAATATGTGTTTGATATTGTAGGCTAATGATTTCTAGTGATTATTACTTCGTTAAAAAATTCCGACAATTGGCCTCATGTATACCTTTAAAAGTTTAGGGTAACGGCATGTGGACTGCGTGTTTCGGCATATGCTGACGATGTTGCCGTTTTCGCTGTTGTTATAGAGAGTGTAACTTTGTTATTGAGAATAACTGAAAGGTTTTGCGTCACAAACAGCAGTTCAATTAATAAATATAAAAGCGTTGGTTTGTGGCACGGCGATTGGGATCTTGCGCCTGCTTTTTTTTTAACTATTCAGTGGCTCACGACAACTCGTTATCTCGGGGTACCACTGGACATATATAAAAACATCGAACAGCTTTGGCTTGACAAGACAGAGGAACTGCTGGTGACAGCTGAAACATGGGGTGGCCGAGAAATATCAATTTTCTCTTGGTCCAAAACGTGTAATGTTTGGTTGATGATTGATATGTGGGGTTTAACGTCCCAAAACCACCGTATGATTATGAGAGACGCCGTAGTGGAGG